CAGTAATAACAATATAAACTCTTAATAAAATGATTGTTTCCACTCCAACTCTCTTCATTTCATACCTTTCCTCCCTCACAATCAGCACCCACACCCAGAAGCTGTCCTCAATCTATCATCAGGTCATTATGGCGAAGTTCAGAGGAGTTGAATCGAAGCGCTCGGCATTCGAGTGAAAAGGTTCTGATGTGATAAATATGAAGAACCCTGTTCTTTAGCTGAGGCCACTACTCCTTCACTCCCTCAGAACAGCAGGGAAGACATGCGGGATTCTACTCACGGAAAAATCGGGGATTACCCGCAAATCCTCTCCACCGCCTACAACCTTCCCGCTCCTTAAACAAGACCACTCACGGAAGCGCAGACGGAGTGTGAATTTTTATGACTCCAGCACTGAACACTGCAGCATCTGCGTTACTGCCTCGATGGGCAGCCCATGAATAAAAGTTTCAAACAAGAGCTCTTGTTTCTACTGTTTGAAAAAAGAGAGAAATTAAAATATAATCATTTTGTTTTACTACTATCACTACCACTAAATGTTCATTCCTGCTTTGCTTCTCAGATTTGTGTGAATTCCATTTTAGAGTGAGAGTGCAGGAGCTCTTTATTATTACTATGTAAAAATACAGGATTTTTCTTTTAATTGTGAATTTTATTTTTATTATTTTTGTTATTTTTCACTTAAAAATGCACCTAATCCCAAACTGTCTTCATTGTGTCAGCGAAGTCTGGGCCCACACTGTTAATTATTAACAAATGATTATTATGAATTGACAACATTTAACACATTTTTACAGTAAAATACCGTATTTATCATTTTATTGTGAAATCAGCTCATCTTAAGGTATTTTCTGTAATAACGCAGCCAATTACCGTAAGGTCGAGGTTGAGCTGTGCTACACAGCTTTATGTAATATAACATCAAAAAAGAGTTAAAGAGGCATAAACATTTTAATGTAATGACTTCATACATTTGAAGTTGTTTTTTCTGATGATTCAGGTTTTGGTGTTTTAAGGACTTTTTTAATGATTCGGTGACACAAGTGCTATTTTATATTGGTTATACATGTTTTTGGTCATATTTGTACAAAATATAAACAAAATTAAAACATCTGTTAAATGTATATTTGCATTTTTAAAAATTGGAGAGTGCAAAACATCACGAAATACGGTCACTGATATTGTCTTTTTCAAATATTTATAGTTCGGGTAAACATTTCTTTATCATCACTGTCCTAAGAAAGAAGATGTATCTCAGAAATTGTAACTTTGCAGGAGAGGGCAAAAACTTTCTTTACTTTTAATACAGGTTAATGTAAAGAGAGTGTATTCCAAGCAATTTTGGAGCATTTGTATTGGTCCTATCATCATGAAATTTTCAAATAATGTAAAGGGCAACTGCTGAGCTCAAATTATGAAGAAAAAATAATTGTAAGAAAAAAATAATTTTGTGAACAGCAAGGATATGCAAGTGTACTGTAAAATATTGGCTACTGAGTTGCATAACATTCACAGTTGCTATGAAAAAATAAATCCAGCCCCAATGACTGTGTAGTTACAGTATACAGTAGCTATTTAACTGTTATTTACTGTTAATATGATAATGCAAGTAGTTAGTAACTGGTAATTTACTATACTTTTTACAGTGATTCTGCTTTTAAATATGATTAGTTATTTTTTTATTTAGTATTATTTAATTATATATAATATTATGGTTATATAATGATATAGTTATCTAAGTTGCAGCAATCCATAACACAAACACAATCCATTTAATGTGCTTTAACTGCAATATTCTTTGCTTTGTTATTGTTAAATTTACCCAGTGATACTATGGAACCTAGTATGCGTGAAGTATAAACTATTTAAAGAGAGTAAATGAAAATATATCATCGCTGTTAGATCCATATTTCCAAAACGCTAATTTTACAGGAGAAGAAAAAAATCTTCTTAACTTTGCATGGCGGTCAAAGGAACAAAACTTTTTGAAGTCATTTTGGAGCATTTCTGTTGGTCCGTTCATTGTGAAATTTTATTATTTTAAATGAAAGGTGATGTTTTCAAACTCTGTAAAAAAAAAACATACAGAGATCCAAGGTTGTGTCCTAACAGCAACGATGTTAAATGTACATTCACATATAAATTTTACATATTTAGTAAGAATGTGCGTAGAACTTTACAAAAAAAACAACCACCATGGGTTAAATATTGGTTAGCGCCGTAGCGTCAAACTTACAATGAACTTTTAATGAAGTGTAAACATGAAAATAGTGATTGCACCTTTACATCTACGAGCGTTCTCCATGCAGTGAACGGAGTCTCGTCTGGAGTAGATGGATTTCACTTGATCTTGATTTCAACTAAATTTGTATTCCACCCCAGGTGGCTAGAACCCCAAAACTAGGTCAGATTCTGCATTATTTTGTCGATTTTTTTCTCTTAAAGAAACAAAGAGAGTTCTCAAAGCAGTGGCCTGTCACTTTCGACTGGACTGTTTGATGCTAATGGACTTCTATGTGTCATCTACCAAATGTCCGACTTATCTGAACGTCTGAGGGAGAGAGGGAACGAGAGGGAGAGATGGAATCGTGGAATGGTGACACGTAGCTAACACATTGAGGTCACGGTGAAAAACGGCAGACGAGGGAAGAGAGGGCGCAGAGAGGAGGAGGAGGAGGAGGACGAAAGACAGACGGAGACTCCCTGGGAGAACCGTGCCAGAGAGAGAGGGATGAGGAGAGTCTGACTCCGGGAAGCCCATTTAGAACCGCTGTTAAATCCACCGCAGAAAGTGCTCGCGCTACGATGGCTAAGAACGAAAAGGCCTCACGCCAAATAACCAGGCCGCAAAAAAAACCCCCAGCTCTCTCCACCATGTGGCCATGTGGGGTAGCACAACAGCGTCCTGTTTTCGTAGCCAAAACCAAAAAGCCACTGTAGCTTAAAGCTAATAAATGTAGGAGTGGAAAACATTCGTCCACCTTAAAACTGTGAAAAAAAGTGGTCAACGATATTTTACCTTCAATTAAAACTACCTTCAAAAAATTCCAAGCGCAAACACATAAAAGATTGTTTCAGCATTTAATATGTCAAGTAAAGTGCTTAACTTTTAAAGGAACCTTGTACACTTAGCGCTTTTCACGATATTCAATCCATTTGATAAAACGTTTAACTTTTTAAGGAACCATGTATGCTTAACACCTTTCCCGACATTCAATCCGTTCGATAAAACGCTTAACTTCATAAGAAACATTGTATACTTAATCTTAACCGTATACAAACTTAAACCCAATATGGAAATTAGCTGGTTGCAGAAATAGCTACACATAACTCCCAATAACGTAAATGAATATCGTAGATGTCCAAAGAAAACCATGCATCTCTATTTTTGTCGATTTTTTATGATATCCTTTATGCTGTGTGAAAATTTCATGATGAACGAACCAATAGAAATGCTCTAAAATCACTTCGAATAAAATATCTTTACATACACTTACATTGAAAGGTAAGAGTGTTTTTGCCTTCTCATGTAAAGTTGGGCAGCGACGATATAAAGAAATAGGTACAATTAGTCAGATAGAATCTTGTATGATTGATTACGAAGGACACCTCTCGCTTCTATACAACCCAGAATGTGATATCATAGAAGCCACAACTGTGACACAGCAGCTTCTGCTTCGGCGACGGGACATTTCTACCTGGAAAACAGGCCGTAGTGTGCCAACCGGGGACTTTACAGCACCCTCAGCCCAGCCTACTACACACACGAGAACATATCCATGAACATGGAGCTCAAAACATTGTTTAAGCTCAAGCAAATTCCTGTAAAGCATTGGCCTTCCGAAAGAAGCAGTCAGTGAATCTGGGATTCTTTGCCATTTGCACCTTCGTTAATCCAAGAACAGGCCCAGCTCTTTCTGGAAAAGCAAGGAAACGGCAACTAGCAGACAAGTCAACAAAGCCTCGTGAAGCCTTCCCTTCACTAACCCACTTCATTCAGCCTCTTTAGGGTCTTGGGAAAGAGGCCTAGGACTAGGACTTGGGACTGGGATTTGCACAAGCAAGAGCTACACTCTTACAAAAAATGGATGTTCAAGGGTTCTTTAGTAAAGACAACAGTTCTGTATAGAACTATGAACACTCAGAGAACCATTTGCATGCTGAATTTTCTTCAGATTGATGGATAATGTGTTGTTTATGGCTGTACGTCGAGGTTCTAGCTCCAAAAAGGGGTTCAAAAAGGGTTACAAGCTTGACATCGGAACCCTTTTTGGTGCTACATATAACCATTCTCCATCAATCACCATGCAAAGAGCCATTTAAGCATGCAGATAGCTCTGCATAGAACTCATGGTTCTAAATAGAACCCTTCCCTGCACCATCTTTTTTAGCTGGACTACACTCTTAAAAATGTCGGTTCCTAAATGGTCCTTGTCTTGCAAGTATGGTGGAAGTATCAAATGCTTACATCTCAAGGAGGTTCTTCAAACTTTGATTAAAAAAGGTTCTCCAAGTGGTTCCTCAGTTCCGAAGGACCAATTTTAAGAGAGAACTGGGGTTCAGGATTAGGATTGTAAAGGACTAGGATTAGGACTACAGTGAGCAGGAACATTTAGAATGTCTGGCTGGAGGACGTCCCCTCAACACTGGAGATGTTTACCATTACAAGTTTATGCTAGAACCAACGATCTACAAAGACCTTTGGAGACCAGTTCCGGAAAAGAACGGGATTCAAATGGAGCGGAACTCCTGGTTTTATGGATACGACAAAAACTTCTAACAAGGTTTTCAAGGCGCAAAGAAATTGTGATATTTTTTACGAAAGGTTACCGTTAAATTCTTTTTTTTTACAGCAAAAGTGGACAAATGGAAGCATTCCCAAGCAGGAACGGGTGCTGGATTGGAAACAATTCCATAAATTTGGGAGCTATAATGAGGAATACCCAATGTGAATGCAGAAGCAGGACCTGCAGGACTTCAGCAGATAAGCCTGGACTTACTGTATGTTGGAGCTGTTCCAGTACACCGCGTGCCTGCTGCCGTCGGCCACGTAAAAGTTGGTGAGGAAAACGAGCGCGAGCCCGGCGAGAGCCATAATCCCCCCCTTCCCTCCCCGGGTATCCGTTTCTTTTCCCTCCGGTTCCTTCTCCGGTCACCGCGGCGATGCCACCATCCCAGAGCAAGGCAAGCACGAACGCGGGGGGTCAAGAGCGCGTGTTTTAAGGCGCGCGGACGCTGGAAGCGTGGTGGCGGTGGTGGTGGGAGTCAGGATCCATGCTGAGGGTCCCCATCGCTCCTTCTCAGCGGCGCTCCGCTCGTTCGGTTTGAGGATTTTAAACTCGACCCCCTCCTGGCCGCCCTCTCCCACGGGGACCACCGAATCGCTCGAGCTGCTCAGATGAGGTTAAAAAAAATCAGAAGTGTCCCTCAAAGCGCTGACCAGCGTTCCTCTCTCCTGGCTGACCGCTCTGAGAATGCTGCAGGTCCCGCGCGCGAGACACTCTTCTATAGCTGAAGATCCTCCACGCGCCTCCGAGACATTTTACACTCGCGCACGGAGGAGGGGCCAGTTTATTCAGCCCGAGCGCGAGAGCAGCCTCTCAACTTCTCTCTCTCTCTCTCTCTCTCTCTCGCTCTCTCTCTCTCCTCCCACTACTCTCCCTCTGTTCTCCCTCCCCCTTCCCCCCATGTCTCTCTCTCCGAATCTTTTGCGCTCTCTTTTTCCTTTTTTCTTGTCTCTCTCTCTCTCTCTCTCTTTCTCTCTCTCTCTCTCTCTCTCTCTGTCTCTGTCTCTTTCTCCTCCTTCTCTCTTTGCTTCTCTATCTCTCCTTCTCCTTTTCTCTCTCTCTTTGTCTCTTTCTCCTCATTCTTTCTCTCTCTCCCTCTCTCTACTTTTCTTTCTCTACTTGTCTCTCTCTCTCTCTCTCTGTGTCTCTCCTTGTCTTCCTCTCTCTCTCTCTCTCTCTCTCTCTCTCTCTCTCTCTCTCTCTCCTTCTCTCTCTCTTCTTGTCTTTTTATCTCTCTCCCCGTCTCTATCTCTCATCTTTCTATCTCTCTCTCTCTATCTCTTTTACACGTCTCTTTTTTCCCATTTCTTTCTCTCGCGCTCTCTCTGTCTTCTTCTCTTTTTTCTGCCCCTCTCGTTTGTTTACTCTTCCTCTCTCTCATTCACTCACTCAACCTGTCTTTCTGCACTTTCTCTTTTCTTCCCTCTTTCTTCATCACCCTCTCTCTCCCGTTTTCTCACTAGCTGTCTCTCTCCATCTTTTATTTTTGGCCTGCCTCTCCTTCCTTCTTCTCTTTCTCACCATAATTCTTTTCACTCTCTTTCTCTCCCTCCTCTCTTAATCTTTCTTTCTTTCTTTCTTTCTTTCTTTCTTTCTTTCTTTCTTTCCCGCTCCTCCCTCTATCTTCTTCTCTTTTGCCTTTGTGTCTTTCCCATTTCCCTCTCTCTGTTTTCCTTTCTTTCTTTCTTTCTTTCTTTCTTTCTTTCTTTCTTTCTTTCTCACTTCTCTGTGTCTATCCTATTCTCTTTTTCTGTCTTTCGCATTTCTCTCTCTCTCTGTTTTCATCTTTCTTCCTCCCTCTCTCTCTTTCTCTCTCTCCCTTTCATTTCTCTCTCTCTCTCACCTCTTTCTTGCCTCTTCTCCTCTTTCCCTCGCTCCATCTTTTATTTTTACTCTCTCTCGTATTCTCTCTTTTCTTCCCACATTCTCTCTCTCCCCCTTATTCCCTTCCTTTTTCTTCCTCTTCCACTCCCTCCTCTTTTTCCATCTCTCTCTTTCATTCCTACTATCTCTCTACCTCTTTTCTTTCCCACCATAATTCTTTTCTCTCTCAATCTCTCCCTCCTCTCCCAATCTTTCTTTCTTTCTTTCTTTCTTTCTTTCTTTCTCGCTCCTCTATCTTCTTCTCTTGTGCCTTTCTTCTTTTCTCTGTCTCTTTTTCTGTCTTTCTCCTTTTCATTCTCTCTGTTTTCATCTTTCTTTCTCTCTCTCCCTCTTCTTTCTCTCTCTGCCTCTTCTTTCTCTCTCTCTTTCTTCTATTTTTCTCTCTCCTCTTTCTTTCTCTCCCATTCTACCTTTTTTCTTTCTCTCCCACTCCCTCCTCTTTCCTTTCTCTCTCTCTCTTTTATTCCTACCATCTCTCTTCCTCTTTTCTTTCCCCTCTCCTCTCCTCTCTCTCTCTTCCCCCTTACCTCCCTCACTCTTTACCCGTCACCTCCCCCTTTGCAAAACTTTATTTTACCTTTAAATTAGCATTAGCATATTAGCCACTGGGGTAATTACAGCTGAGGAGCAGGAACAGACCCTTCACCCCCCCCCTCTCTCCTAATCACTCGCTCACTTTCCCAGCCTATTATATACACCTAAACCTTATACTCCCACCACCCCCACTACCACTCCCACCCCCACACCGCCTCTACAGTATGTGTAAGTCTCCTCTAATACAGTATTATTATGTGAAATCCTCTTAGGCGAGTAAATTGATTCGCTTCTCTTTCTCTCTCTCTCTCTCTCTCTCTCTCTCTCTCTCTCTCTCTCTCTCACTCACTCACTCCTACGCCTATAGCTCATCTGCATGCAGGGCTCAGTGTTAATGGTGAGCGCACCTGCGATAGGCAGAGCGTGCACACACACATGCTCGCCTTCCCATCATGCTATGTTTTTACATCAAGGATGGTTTGTTGTCTCTCGTGTCACCTCTGGGCATGTTGCTGTGGCGATGGTGTTTTTATGAAGGGGAGAGATGCAGAGAGAGAGAGGGAGAGAGAGAGAGAGAGATGGGGAGAAAGAGGGATAGTTTTCAGTGTTTCGCTCTCCCTCTGCTGGGAATGAGTTGGTTAAAGAGAAGTCAGAATGATTTATTGGTGGAGAAAGGAGGGAACAGAAGAAAAGGGGATGGAGAGAAAGAGAGGGAGAGATGAGGTGTCATTGGGGAATCCCTCCGTCTTCTCCTCCTCCTCCTTTTCCTCCTCTGTTTTTCCACTATCTCTCAGCTGTCTATACGGTCGGGCACAGCCGGCAGCTCGGAGTGTATGTGTGCTACACTTTGCTGGCCCTGTCTTCTCTTACACCCATTGTGTCAAGCTACACTGACTCTTTTGGAGTCTATTTCTGTCCTTCTTTTGTTCCCTCGCTCTCTCGTGATCTACCTGTCACCTCTTTGTGTGCCTTGTACTCATCTGTCTGCCATCCATCTCTATCTCTCTCTCTCTCTCTCTCTCTCTCTCTCTCTCTCTCTATCTTTCTCTCTCTCTCTGTGAGATTTTTTAAAGCCGGCGCAGGAGAGAGTGTTTTCTCTCCCTCCCTTCATCCTTCACTCCCTCTCGCTGACAGCATACAACTTTTGAGGCGGTGGTGAAAGCAATGCAAATGCATTTGGCAAGAAAAAAAAGGGTTGATTTCAAATATGTCTATAAAGTGCCTTGGCAAATCTATACCACCTTAAAAACAGCAGGCATTTCAAAACCACACCCGCCCAATTCCACTACTCAAAGTTTAACTCATTTTTATTCATTCAGATCATCAACACTGGCATCTATGCACATTCAGTCGTATGCAAAAGTTAAAAAATGACACATTTTGTTGCTTTTCTAAGTGAAAATAAATGACCACATCCTGAACGAACTCAAGCATGGCATTAATTCTGGTGCACAATTTCTATTTGTTTGCTGAGGAAATTTACGAGGAAAAAATGAAACATACAATGTGCCATAACTTTGGCACAGGCCACAATTTATATGTTTGATTCAGCAAATATACAATAATTGTGCAAGCGTGTGTCGATAGAGGATGTGCTAACTTGTTTTCACTTAGAAAATCAACGGAACGTCACTGAACCAGGGGCGCCAAAACTTTTGCACACGATTGTAAATCCAATGACTGTTAGAGTTAGGCCCTCAGTTCAGGCCATAAATGCCAAAACTTAGTCAACAATGAGGGAAAAAAACACCTCTACCATAAAGGTAGTTTCTGCTAGCACCCCTATGGGACTCTAGTAGTATGTTTGTGCTAAGCTCCTAGATTAAACTTGGACATTTGGGTAAAAAGCCCTGACATAGAGCTGTAACTGTTTTCCATTTGAAGTAGCCAACTGTAACAGAGTTAGGCCTTCAATTCAGGCAAAATGTCAACAACAAAGGAAAAATAACTCTACAAACAATGCTAATTTCTGCTAGCATCCCTGTCACTGTCCGATTTGCACCAGAAACCCGATTTGGACTACGTATGCTAGCCCAAATTGGGTTGGTTGACGTACACTTTTGCACATGCGTAGTCCAAATCGAGTTCAAATCGGGTACCAACTGCCCCTATGGGATTCTAGTAGTATGTTAGCACTAAGGTAATGACGACTCACATGAACCTCTAGACTAAGCACAGATGTTTAAAGCTTATAAAAGATATTCCTTGTTTTATTTGAAGCTTTTAACATACATATCAATGTATATTTTACCTTGTAGCACCTCAGTAAAGAGCCCTGGCATAGAGCTGCTGCTGCTGCTTTCCATTTTTTAACAAGTTTCGAACCGTGGCTATTAAAGCTAGGCCTTTGGTTCAAACAGTGTATGGTCAAAAACAAGGAAAAACACCTCTACCATAACGCTAACAGTGATTCACATGAACCTTTCTTGGTCATTCTAGATTAAACAAAGTTATCTGAAGCTCTGACATTGTCCTGCCACTGTTTTCCATTTCTAACAAGGGGCCAACCATGATAATTAGAGTGAGGCCTTCAGTTCAGGTCATAGGTATCAAAACTTGGTCAAAAACAAGGGAAAAACACCTCTACCATAATCGTAATTTCTGCTAGCGCACCTATGGGCTTCTAGTAGTATGTTAGCACTAAGCTAATGGCATTCTTATGATAAATTTTTAGCCATTCTGGATTAAACACACATGCATTTGAAGCTTGTAAAAGAGATTAACATACATTTTACCTTGTAGCAGTTCAAAAAGAGCCCTGACATAGAGCTGCTACTGTTTTTCCATTCCTAAGAACTGACTGGTTAGACTCTATATCTTCAGTGACATATCTAGAACCTCGAGAAGGCCTAGAGTGACCTTTTTCTCACAAAATTTGTCCAACCTATTAGGAATCAAGACATGATTGGTTGATT